GTCACCTGGATGATGATGAAACGTTTCTGCCACAAAACGCTATGTCCAGATGAACAGAATCAACTTTTGGAGATTTACTTTCCTGGATGATTGAGCATCAAGACAGATTTAGACAGATCTGTGAACAATATTTGAGAGTAATGGGTCCTTTGTGTATGTAGAAAATGTTTCAGATCTTTAAGTTCAGCTCATGAAAAATGGGAGCAAAAACAAAAGTGTTGCGTTTATATTTTTGTTCAGTGTATATTAGTATACTGCATATGATTCTATATATTGAGTACTTTAGGTGTTTCAGTATATTTTTATGTAAATCTGTCAATTTTTGTTTTGTCATTTCTTTATGGGTTTTGTGATTGATTGTGTTTTTGAGGATCTCTTGTATTTCAGTTAGGTTCTCTTTGTATATTAGTATGGTTGATTGTTTCATTTAGCATTTATTTTATCCTCTGTAGCCTGTTTATATCTAGTTCATCTTCTTTTGGTAATCCCTTTCTGCCTCTCTTCCTGTTCTCTGGGCCTTTATGTCTCTGTCTCTGCCTTTAGGTCTCTGTGCTAGTTCTTGTTTTATTTTGATAGTTTCATGTGTTTCCAGCTGAGTTTTACTTCCCCTGTCTCATTGATCCTGTGTATATATTTTGTCTCAACCTTCCTTCGTCCTTTGTCGCATCCTCCCACCAGGTACTGTAGTGTGCTTTCCTTGCTCCATATCCTCCTGCTATTCCTAATTTTGATTATTTAGCTGCAGCTCAGCTGACACCTTTGGGGAGACTGTGGCTCAGGGGGTTGGGAAGCGTATCTGTAACCGGAAGGTTGCCGGTTCAATCCCCGAGACAGTAAGAAGCAAGCAGAGGGAGAAAAAACAGAACATTTTTCAGAAACTGATTTGATCCTTAATGGCTGTGCAATCATTGTAACATGGAGTTTGCTTATGTTGTTAAATAAAGGCTAGATTTGACATTAATAGATGCCACAGATGTTCAAAAGCTGCCACAAAGCATGAAAAAAATGGACGTCTCCGAAAACGTCGGAGCATTTTTGCAAATATGTGATGTCTTGATAAATCGAGCAGATATTTGACTTTACACAGCTACATTCTCGCCTGAAAATATCTAGATATAAACAGGCTACAGAGGATAAAATAAATGCTAAATGAAACAATCAACCATACTAATATACAAAGAGAACCCAACTGAAATACAAGAGATCCTCAAAAACACAATCAATCACAAAACCCATAAAGAAATGACAAAACAAAAATTGACAGATTTACATCTTCTCCTCGCATGTGTGGCATATCAAGGTGCTGATCAGACAGCATGAATATTGCACAGGTGTGCCTTAGACTGCCCACAATAAAAGGCCTCTCTGAAATATGCAGCTTGATCACAGCTCAATGCTACGGATGTTGCAGCTTTTGAGGGAGCGTGGAGAAGCAAAACTTCCAGCTTACTTAGTTTTTCTAAGTTAAGAAAACTCAAATAAATTGAGTTTATCAGTATTTTTTCATAAAAAAAGTACTTGTAACTTATTTAAATTGAGTTTTAATAACAAATTGATAAAAATTGAGTTCAATCTACACTGTAAAAACGATAACTAGTAATTGTTGATTTGATTAAAGTTTTCAAATTAAACTGACTTAGAAATAAAACTTTCCATTTACAACCTAAAAAAGCTTGTCTGCCCAACAAATTTCTTCCATTGTTGTCCTAACTAAGATTTTCTAGAGAGCATAACAAAGATTATCAACTTTTGAGTAGATTTTTTGAGTCAAGTTGTGAACCAGTGGGAAACCCCGTAGATGACTTGCACACGTGGTCTGAACAAGTTTGAACTAGACCAAACGAGCCTGAGCAGACCTGAGCTGTGTGATAGTGGTTTGTCGATGTGTTCTGGACTGAAAACCTGCTAAGAAAATTTGAACAAACGCGGCCAAAGTTGGATGAAAATTACAATTTTTCGACCATTAGGATTTTACCTGGTCTGAAGTTGGAGTGTATTATTTGACCATTTTTTGGACAGGTGCGGGAGCTGCTGACCATTTGCCCTAGCAGGTAAGCTAACGACATCTGTTATTAAGATTTTCTATGTGAAAATGATATGCCAGGAGTTCGCTGTTCTCGCTGCTCTAGCGAGCCAGCTAGCTATCGAAGCCGGTGGTAACAGACGTCTCCGAAAACGTAGAAGCATTTTTGCAAAAATGTGTTGTCTTAATAAACTGAGCAGATATTTGAAATTTACACAGCTACATTCTTGCCTGAAAATATCTTAAAAGTTTACTTTGTGACCCAGAAAGAGTAATAAGAGTAATATTAAAACTAAGTGGCTGCCGCCATTGTTGGAGACTAGAATCGGCTGGGCCGCGCTATGAATTCTGGCATAGGGTGGGCCACGAAGGATACACCTGACCATCCTTCAAAGCTGTGGAAAGTATTGTATTGTTTTGAGAGCCTTTTTGTTGGTGGAGTATTGATTTTATGTACAATTCCACGGGTAGACGGGATCTGTACGGTCCGACTTTGCACATGCGTAGTAAGGATCGGAGAGTCCGATCCTTAATCTTTTTTTTTCTCGTTTCTCTACATTATATTGAAATGTTTCATTATTGCAAACATTTTCTCTCAGGCGGATAGAGGTT